GATGCTGCACAGCTACATCACCACGGTAACCGATGCTGCACAGCTACATCATCACGGTAACTGATGCTGCAGAGCTACATCATCACGGTAACTGATGCTGCAGAGCTACATCATCACGGTAACTGATGCTGCACAGCTACATCACCATAGTAACCGATGCTGCACAGCTACATCACCAGATGCTGTAGAGCTAACCTGCTCCAGAGCAGATTTTGTTTAGAGTTTGAATCAGCTGTTAGAAGGGTCTCCTTTGACCAGTTCTTACTAATACAGAAAACCGATTCTCAGCTGAGGTTTTATTTGCAAACATGCTGATGTGTACGTTGGTAAAGACACTGAACGAAAATGTGCAGCTACAGCAGGATAACTGGATGTTGCTACGGGAACCTCCATGCGTTCAGCTGGTGATGTCGAAAATGCATCAGTTTGTTTTCATGTTTGCTCCTGATTTGTTGATGCTGCAGCTGAGAGAACACAGATTAGAAAACTGATTATGCTATTATTTATCACAGAATATTCAATCAATGCCATTAATTTAACTTTGATTCGTCCAAAAGCTAAAGTTATATCCACGTCTCCTTTATTCTGTTCCAGTGTCGGACCTAAACGTTGTTTAAATGAGTTTCAGAGCTCTACTGTGCAGCTGGAACTCAGAAATAATAAATATTAGTGTACAGCATTAACAGTTTTCTACCAGCGTTTATCTCTGGAATCATCTACAGTGACATGTTCTATTCTCTCCATTATAACACTCTGTTCCTGTGACTGAAGCAGGCGGCTGCCATTGGTCCATTTTGTGCAGAAGAAAAGTCACATGATGCTTCAAATGCCCCCTTTTGTGTGCTCAGAGTCTGAAAAAAACCTGGTTGACAAAGTTTATAACCACCATCTGATTATCTCTAACTGGAGTTTCAGGTTTTGTTTATCCAGCTAACTCAAAGAAAGCCTGGATATGTTAAACTTGCTTCGTCCTGCAGCCGTCTGGTTTAAGGTTTTAACAACACAGTTCACGACTATTAATCAGAATGTATTCAATGTGATCAATGAACAATCTTGAGCAATTTTTGGTCTCTGATTTTGACACTGAAAGAAACGGAAACCAGCTGCTGCCCTCAGAGGGAAATGAATCACAAATGTAAATGTACAGTTAATAGTGTTGGTCAAATAATAAACCAAGTAAAATGAAAAGAACCAACATGAAGCATGTGTTGTGAAGCTGTAAAGTTTAGCATTTGTGCTGATTTATTTGTCCTGTTTCTTGCTCGGTGTGTTTTGGAGCTGCAGGTTTGTTTTCCTGAATGAGGCGAACAGCTTCAAGGTGAATTCAAGTGAAGCTTATTGATTTGAAAAACTGTTTATTCCTCAGAGTCCTGCAGCCTCAGTTTGACTCTGCGTTTAAGCGAACATCACCTCAGACAATCTCCTGACTGACAAATATTGAGTGTTGACATTTCTTTGAATCGGAGTGTCAGTTCAGTGAACGCAGCAAGAAAACTCAGAAGTGGGTCATCGTCTGCAGTCATGCTGCCTCCGAGACACGATGTGGGTTTGAGTTCAGCCTTCACTGTTAACAATCATCTCTCAGCCTCCCTCTTCACCTTCTGGATGGAGTTTTTTTCTTCCTGCTTTTCTACCTGAAAGAAGGTGTCTGAAAGGAGCAGTGGTAGCAAAGACGGGAGTCCTCTGGTGGTAAATAAACCCCTCCAGAGTTTCTGCAAGCCGCTCAGGTGGGAAGTAAACGCACCAGATTACTCCTCACCTGCTGAAGCGAACAAAGGAGGGAAAGTTCCAGGTGCTGGAGAGTACAGCAGTGGAAAAAAAAGAAATGAGAGGAATATGGCTCATGTGTAAATCTGCAGCTTGTCCTCAAAAACTGAGTGACCGAGCAAGAACGAGACCAGTGAAGGAGGTCACCAAGACATCTATGACTCCTCTGAAGGAGCTAGTCTGTTGGACACCAAACACTGGACATCATCAAACACACCATCCCCACTGTGAAGCACGGTGGTGGCAGCATCATGATGAGCAGCACGGTGGTGGCAGCATCATGATGAGCAGCACGGTGGTGGCAGCATCATGATGTGGGCATCCCCTCAGCAGCAGCTCCTGAAGGCTTGTAAAGGTAGAGGGTAAATGAATGCAGCAAAGTGTAGAGAAATCCTGGAGGACAACCTGATGCAGTCTGCAGGAGAACTGAGACTTGGAGAAGACTTGTTTTCCATCAAGACAACGAGCCGAAGCAAACAGCCAAAGCTCCACAGAGATGGTTTAAAGACAACAAGGTGAAGTTCTGGAGGCCCAGTCAGAGTCCAGACCTCAATCCAACTGAGAGTCTGGACGTAAAGTTCTGTTCACTCATGATTCCTGTAGAACCTGACAGAGTCTGAACAGGTTTATCAGAAGAATGAGGTGAAACTGCAGCGTCCAGATGTTCAGACTGATGGAGACCAACAGGACCAATGATGGAGCTGAAGGTTCTTCTACTGAACACTGACTGGAGGAGGAGAATACTGATGCATTCACTTATTTTATATTTAGTTTAATTGACATTACTCTATTGCTTCACTGTGACATGAAATTGTCTTTTTGTAAATTCTCATCCAAAGCGTTTTAATTTGCGTCTTTCCTGCAGCTCTGGGATGGACACCGGAGAAACAGCTGCATGATGGTATTAAACTCAGCCTGTCATGTTTAAAACCCTCTTTGGTAACTGTGGTAATTGGTATCGTGTTTTTCGAGGAGAACATTTATCACATCAGTGATTTCTCTCTGCTGTTCAGAATATTTCTCATATGATGCAACTCTGGCAAAGACATCCCAATTAGCAGAGCTGCGTGCTGCTCATTTAAACGGTCAAACTAATTAACTGTGGTGGCAACAGCAGCAGACAGAAAGCCTACTTTTGGTCACAACATCCTTCCTGCTGAATTATTTTCAACCTTCCTTCTCAGTGTTTCTCACCGGTGGAGACTCCACATCGACAAACTCTTGTTTCTTAAAAGTAATAGAATAGATGATGTTCTATCAGACAGTCTTCTCTTGTAGATTAGTCATGAAAAATGAGAATCGTGAGTCTGAAATGAAATACTGTGCAGCCCTACAGGAGAGCAGAGGGAGCCAAACTGAACAAAATATTGGACTCTTGTTCTGAGGCATCGGTTATTACATTTTGCTGATTCTTTATTTACTGCAGATAAGGTTTCGACATTTGTTCTTGATTCTATTCCCTTTTTAAGTTTTCTTAAAATACAGCCGCTGACTCTATTTGGTGAAATTAATACTCATCCTTTAGATTTTCATCCAAGCAAACACCAAAATTAAATTCTATCCATATATAAACAAATATAACTTGAGATTAAAATCAACGATGGATCGATCCATGAAAATATTTTCTTAGTATGAACGTAACATTTTGTATGGCCTTAATAAATTTTTAATTGCAGAAGTTATTGTAGATAAAACAATCAGGCAGGACCTTTAGATTTGGTTTTTATATGGATTGAACCTTCATTCATACCGACACCAGCCTCCTCATTTATTTGAATGAGGGCAGTGATGACTGTCGGACCTAATATTCAGCATTTTTCTGATTTTCAGTATCGTTACTCATCTTATTAGTACCTGAAGTAACACACCTCTACTAATCCAGCAACCGTTTTCAGCTTTAATGTTCTAAAATCACTCAGATAAACCTGTATATTGTGTTGGGGGTCCTCAGGAGCCCCTCGACCAGCAGGGGGCAGCATCTGTGGTCAACAAAATCGGATATGTCTGATTTTCCTCCCCTTGTTTCGGCAGACCAAAGAATCTTCAATGGTTTGCTGCATATTTACCTCACATTTCAGAGAGCTGAGGTCATTTCTCTGCATGTGGAGTCCCTCAGGGCAGAATACTGGGTCCTCTGGGGTTTTAGCACAACATTCAGCTATTTTGGCTTTATATACGAAAGAACACATTAGAACCAGTTTTAAAGGACACATAGTGGCTCATAGAGGTACTGAGAACATAAAATGACATTGAAATTTTCTAATTTTTTTTTTTTTTTTTTAGAAAAATTGATTTTCTCCTGATGAATTTAAGCTGAACTACAGGAATTGTCCCATCAGAGGTCTCAGATATCTGGAACATGAGGAACAAATATTGATGTCTGGAACAGTTCTTTCCTCACTGATCAACAGACATAAAATGATTTCTATAATGCGTGAAGCTCTTCCGTCGAGTCTGAGCCTGATAAATCCACGATGTGATGGGAGACGGATTAGAGGTGATGGAGTTACATCTACTCTGCTGGTCCAGGCTAAGACCAGCTTTACTCCCTATATGAACTCAGATCTCTCACATGTCAGCTGTAGATGTGGTGTCCAGTCAGGTACAGTCCTGCCTCCCAGTGAGCAGGAACAATAATTCCCTTCAGCTATGTTTTTTTCAGTTTGAGGTCAGTCGTCTGGAATCGGGGAGTTGCAGTTCCCGTGGTAAATATAAACGGGTCCGTCGCAGCGGTAATACATCTGGAAAACGTCTCCGTACCCGTGATCCCTCCACCAGGTGCACAGCTGCCGGTTCCAGCCGCAGTCCAGCAGGTGGAACAGCTCCGGATGCTCCATGCCGATCATGCTAAAGAAGTCCTGGTCGCCCAGGTGGCCCCTGAAGCGGTACTGGTCGGCCAGTTTGGCCACGTTACTGGGCTCCAGCAGCTGGTTGTACAGAGTCGAGGCCCTCATGGCACCGAGGTCCAGTAGCATGACGCCGCTGTTGAAGCCCGGGAGGCCATCTGGAGGAGGATCTCCGACCCGGGTCTGAGGGTTCTCCTTCCGGTACTGCCAGAACGTATGTCTGAGGAGATGAGAACAGAGCTGGAGGTCAGCTTGAAGTGAACCTAACCAGGAAGTTTACATGAAAACAGAGAGAACAGAAGAACTTTGTGAAGTAAAGGCTGCACAGACTTTGTAATATTTAGTTTTTCCTTCAAGAAATATTAATAATGACAAAATTAAAATGCAGAAAATTTCACCAGATGACTTTAAAAAACTGTATTTGGAAAGAATTCATGTTTTTAGAATGACTGTAGTGAATCGATAGATTCAGAACTGAAATCTGTTTTATTGCCGATGTTTTGTTTGTTTGTTGATTTTTTGTTTTTCCATTTGAGGACTCTGACTCAGTGTTTTGGTGCATAACAGGAAATACTGACAAGTACAACATTACTTAAAGAAGAATAAAGAAGTAAGTGGTTCAGCTAGGGCTGGGCCATGTCATACTGTGCACGGTGATACCGCTGTAATGTTAGGGGATGGTATGAATCTAAATATCGCAATAAAGTTTGAGTGAAACGCGTAGTGCTGTTGTTTGCGTCCAGTCTAATGCACGAGAGAAGCATGGCGGCGACTGAGGAGGAGGGCGAATGCAGTGCATCGACCGGCACAGGAGGGCTGGACCATGAATATCAGAATATTCTGTCATTGTGGTGGTGTCCACATAGCAATGTTGAGATCCAAATATTCGCTCGCCGCCATCGCCATCGCCATTGCCATCACCACCACCACCACCACCACCACCACCAACTGATGGTGGAAACAGAACTGTGACCACTATCCTAAACTGGCATCAGCAGCCAAGTACTGCCTGTGTGTCACGCCCACTTCCACCCCGTCAGTACGAATATTCACCCGCCGCTATACAACCCCTCAACTGACGTGGTGGTGAGACCAAAGAAACTGGCTGCAAAGTTTTATGTTGCAAAGCAGCTCTACTTGACTTTTGTGGACACTATGCTTTGTTATGCTCAGGATCTGTCAGCCTACTTCCATTTGAAATGCCTTTTGATTAAACAAACTGTCAGCAATAATTTACAGCTTATGCACTATTGATTTTGGTACAATATAGCTTTAATGCACATCAACAACAGCTGCTTGCTAAATGGTAAAGAAACTGGTCTTTTTTTTTTATCCATCCATCCATTATCTATACATTGCTTGATCCTCTTTTTTTTATTTGCACCGATAAAGTTGTGCAGTTTTGAAGTATTTTGTCTAGCATCAGTTATATCAGTATTGCAAATCTTCTCATTTATACTGTGATAAATATTTTTGGCCGTATCACCCTGCCCTAGTGCAAGCCCAAGATAATATGAAAGTAATAAATACTTACAGTTCTATTTAAGACAGACAGCTTGTGCAAATTGTGCAGAAATGTGCAAAATTACACACTATCTAATGCAATCGATTCTGTCTGACCCCAAAAATGGCTTTTGAAGTATTTTTTTGAAGGCAAATACAAAAATGTCCATATTTGAAAACATAAAATTCTCAAAATTCAGCCAAAAATATTTTACTGAATTCAATTTTGGGTTCCAAATAACATATAAGGAAGCTTTGAACTAAATCTGAGACGGTGCAGAAACTATTTCCTGAATTCTGTCTGAGTAAACACTGACTGATCAACAGTTTACCAGCCTCAGTAACCCTCAGGCCGCCGAGCTTCCAGCAAAACTTGTTTCCTGAGGATGTGAAAACGAATTTAGGTGGAATAAAGCTGGCAGAATGACTGAGTCACTGCAAAGCACAACATGAACTCGCCCAGTTTTGATCAGTCCGACACCAGCTGATACAGCTGCTTGTAATCTTGTGTTTAGTCTCTGCTGCCGAAGAAAAGTTTCACATCCTGGCACAGATACGTAGTTAAACCCAGTATTCTCCTTCGTCTGCACAGTCGGGAGCCTGAACTCTGTACGTGTGTCTGAATCTGGGTTTCAGTCCACGTCTGCAGAACAAACAGCAGGAAGAAGCCGGTCCAGGACTGTCAGAGTCTGGATCCGGCTCGGCTCGGTTCTGCCAACAAACCGACTGTGAAGCAGCTAAATGACACACTGAGCTTCATTCAGAGGACATTTGTATTCACAGATTCAATGTGGGGACACAACTCAGCCACAGTCAGGGCTTGTTGAGATGCTGTACACATGATCAGAGGTTTTAGTCGGACGACGACGATGATGATGATGATGATGGTGATGATGACGGTGATGATGATGATGGTTACTGGGGATTTTTATCAGCATCATTATTGTGGAGATACTGTGGCAAACTGCTTTTTTTTGTTGTTGTGTAAAACATCACAAAACAGCACAAAAACTAGACACAGAATGACACAAAAAGACAGAAAACTACACACAATTATAAAAGTTTTTTTTCTTTTTTTTAATTATTTTTCTCGCCTTTTCACCGCTACTAGTCAGGAGAGTGAGAGAGAGAGACGGGAACGTTGGGAGAAGACCATAAACAACGATGCGGCTAATTTACGGATTTTTTATGAGTTTTACAAATTTGCCGCAAGACCAAAGTGACATTGAGAGCGACAACGACAGAGAGACTGAGGAAGTGTGTGACGAAGTAATTCTGAGGCTGTTCAACTACGACACCGAATAAGACGATTTTAGTGGTTTTAGTGCAGGAGGAAGATGAAGATAGCGATCAATGACTTTTCCTGGTAGGCTGCTGTATGTTACAGGAACTGTTCGGAAAAAAGCATTTATGGCATTTGTGTATGTTACCGATACGTATTTAATTAAAAGTTAAAAACATCTTTTTGTGTAAATATCTCATAATACAACGTGGACACCTGCAGCTTATAGACAAGTGCGGCCTGTATATGTACAAAACTAGTTTTCTTTTTAAAGTTAGTGGGTGTGGCTTATATTCAGGTGCCTCAATAATCCGGGAATTACGGCACTGTGCAGCTAATGAGAGCACAGAGGTGGCGTTGTACTCAAGAGTGCAGCTTCCATGATTCTCCCTTTAATTCAACTCCGGCTGCTGAAGCCTCTTATTATCTTCAGATGGACTCTGGAATGTTTTTTTGTCCTGAACAAAGACGCGTCTAATAACCAGCGTGCTGTCGGTGGGATATTATAGCCGCCATGACGCTGAAAGCAAATGCAATTTGCTCCTTTTAATGCAATCTTGCGTCAAAAACAGCAGAAAGGAAAAGTCTGTGGAAGTTTCCTGGATGTGTCTCGGGTCACGTAGACTCAGTGAAAGTCTTTAAACACTCCTCTGAGGCCTCGAGTCCCTCAGACACCAAACAACACAGAGCTGCAGCTGCAGAATGTGGGTCAGAAATATTATCAGAGAATCTCCCACCGGATCCGATCTGAGAGTCGGAGGTGTTGCTGTACAGAACTGAGTGGACTCGTTCTGCTAAATGTTCCCTCATGCATCAACAGTACAGCTCAGGAGCGACTCTGTGTTTTATTCACCACCTCTGTCTCCTCTCTGTGTGTTTTAACACATTTCTTCATTAATGTTTCATCTACAGCAAGAAGAACGAGTGAGTGCATGTGTGAACAGGAGGTTTACATTCATGTTCAGCTGGATCGGAACATCTTTGCAACAGCTGTTGGTCAGAAGGAGGAAACCAGCGCTTTGTACTGCCTCCAAAAAACAGCCAGAAAAAAAGAGCCCACGCTCTGAAAACAAAGGTCTCCACAGATTTGAATGAACAACACGAACACTTTGGGAAAACGACAGATGCAGACGTGACCCAGTGTTTATTTATTTCATGCATTTCTTATTGGTCCCATCTGTTCTCTGCAGGATCAGATAAATAACTTAGACTCTGGAAACCGACTACAGCAGGACCGATCCAGCTATTAGACTGCACCCAAAACCTCGTTCCCTTTCATTGTGTAACAAGTGTCTGCACAGAAACATGAACACCTGTAGACACCTGCCTCAGGTAACACAGGAGCTTGTTGTTCTGTCAGAGGTTATGAAGAACGGAGCTCAGTATCCTCTGAACATCTGGTTTCACTTCTTCTAACCTTTCACCTGATGTTTTCTCTTAATGCCATTACGTCATCTGAGTGTGATCCAGTATTGCACAAACACTGAATCATTTACTATATTTTGTTCCGCTGAGTCAGAACTGCAGCCTACATACCAGAACATCAAACAACCTTAAGATACAGCAGGATAGATGGGATCCTTCTTTACACTCTGCATACGTCACATAAATATGACAAAGTTCCCCCCGACCTCCTCAGAATCAGCTGGTTCTTGATCTACAGTGACTTTGGTGTATTTAATGAATCCATGTAAACTTTTACCTTCATACTAGGGATGATACGATTATCGACCCGGCCGATTACTGACACCGATATTTGGCCTTTGTAGATGATCAGTATCACTATTTTTTTGGGCCGATTATTAGTAAATACAGGCTCCAGTTTAGCCAGTTTCTCTCTCAAGCATTGCTCCGCCTATATTTGATTGGCTGTTATGCATCATATGTAACAGCCAATCAGCACTGACGCCGATTGTTTACACAGAGAGACCGATGAGCACATTTCCACACTCTGTTCTAACTGACAGACTCGTCTCTCTGTAGAGAATCGACCTGCAAGAACCGAACAAAAAAGCCAAACATCAACACAAATCAGGACGCTAGCTGCTTTCACTGCGGCTAATGCTACGCCAGCAGCTAAGTTAGGAAGCAAGCCACAGATTAACCTGAAACTGAGTCTAGAAAACATGATAATGCTTTAAGATTTGGGCCTTAGTGGGAAATAAAACTGACAGAAAAGAAAAAAACAGACAGAACTGCAGGAGACGAACTGTTATTGAGCTCAATCAATTGATCTTACAGTAAATGTGAGAACATCGTAGCATCACGTGGTGCTCAAATGTCCTCATTCCTGTTTCTACTAATATTCAGCGATAATCATTATTAATGAGGTGGTCTAGTTATGAATGACAGGTTCCTGATATCAAACGCTGTTAATATAGAAAATATATTGCATCTCAACTCAAATATCGGCCTTTCTCAATTACTGATAATTA